TATTACTATTTTTAATATTTCTATTTAGGTTCAATATTTATTTCAGTTTTAGTTGTAGTTTATTCTAGTTAGTAATTTTTGTTTATTTCGGTTTGTTTTTTGCAAAGTTTGTTTTAAGGAACAGAGATGGTGCACTTTTATAATATTAAAAGAATAATTCACACAAAAATAACAATTATATTATTATAAACATTTTAGGATTAAGTCATTTTTTTTGGTTTAGTTCATGTTAGTTTAATTTTTAGTAAACTCAGTTTATTGTTATTATTATTTTTAATTATTATTATTATTATTATTATTATTATTATTATTATTATTATTATTATTATTATTATTATTATTATTATTATTATTATTATTATTATTATTATTATTATTATTATTATTATTATTATTTATTAATATTATTTTAAATTACTTTTTTTTTTAATCTTAGTGCTTCAATTCATTATAGATTTAATACTTTAGTTAAATTTTAAAAAGTATTTTAAATAAAAGAGATGCTGCACTTTTGAAATATCAATAAAAAAAATGTTTTTGCATCCTCTGAGATCTTCTGTGTGTCTCAGGAGGAGCCGTACGTCATGTTTAAGAAGTCGGATAAACCTCTGTACGGGAACGACCGCTTCGAGGGATTCTGCGTGGATCTGCTGCGGGAGCTTTCGGGAATCCTGGGCTTCCGTTACGAGATGCGGTTAGTGGAGGACGGTAAATACGGAGTGTTTGAGGAGAGTACGGGCCAGTGGAACGGCATGGTGCGCGAGCTCATGGACCACGTGAGTGCTTTATATGCCATTACTGCGTTTATTTATGTTTTAAATTAGCTTTTATTTTTATATTTTCAGTTTTCATTTAGTTAAAATTTTTGCAATTTTGCTATGTGTGTTTTTAATATTATTTTATAATATAGGTTTCATTTATTTTTGTTTTAGTTTGTTATAAATTTATTTTAGCAACATTTCTAATTTTCATTTAGCTTTAATTCTAGTTTAATTATAAGTAATTTTATGTTTTTTTGTTATTTTTATTAGTTTGTCTTTAGATTTATTTAAAGGATTTTAGATATTCGTTTTAATTTTTTTCAATTTGTTTGCTTCAATTTATTTCAGTTACTTGCCAAGGCAATATTTCTACGTTTCATTTGGTTTAAGTGTTTCATCCAATATTTATTTTTTTATTTTATTTCAGCTTTCTTTCAACTAACAAAAATTATGCGTTTAACATGGTTAACGCATGAATTGGCAGTTTTTAATGAATCGAGTGAGCCAATGATTCAGTGACTCATTCATAAAGGCAGTCACTTGCCTCGTTTCCTAAATGAATCAGCCTTTTGAACGAATCGAGTGAGTCAATGATTCAGTGACTCATTCATAAAGACAGTCACTTGCCTCGTTTCCTAAATGAATCAGTCTTTTGAATGAATCCAGTGAGCCAATGATTCAGTGACTCATTCATAATGACAGTCACTTGCCTCGTTTCCTAAATGAATCAGTCGTTTGAATGAATCGAGTGAGTCAATGATTCAGTGACTCATTCATAAAGACAGTCACTTGCCTCGTTTCCTAAATGAATCAGTCTTTTGAATGAATCCAGTGAGCCAATGATTCAGTGACTCATTCATAATGACAGTCACTTGCCTCGTTTCCTAAATGAATCAGCCTTTTGAATGAATCCAGTGAGCCAATGATTTAGTGACTCATTCATAAAGACAGTCACTTGCCTTGTTTCCTAAATGAATCAGTCGTTTGAATGAATCTAGTGAGCCAATGATTCAGTGACTCATTCATAAAGACAGTCGCTTGCCTCGTTTCCTAAATGAATCAGCCGTTTGAACGAATCGAGGGAGCCAATGATTCAGTGACTATTTTAACTATATGTACACTGAAGAAAAACCTTTCATGGGCAACCTAGTATATCATGCACTTTCACAACAAAATAAACTTCTTATTCTTTATCGAATAGTAAAAAAAAGGCTGTAATCATGTCTAGAACATTGGGGGGACCAATCGTTTTGAGGAAAATATAAAGATGGTAATTGTATTTATTTAAAGAAGCTAAATAAATAAAGGATTTAAATGAGAGAAGAAAAAAGATCAGTAAAAGAACAAGAATTTGAATTTTTGTGAAGTAATCAATCTGAACTGCAAATAATATATTTTTATTTTAAAATATGCACCCATTCCATTTCAGTTGCATTATTGAAAATACAAAACATGCTATTGTCGTCATAATCAATTATGAGTGTCACAAATGATTCAGAGTTGACGAACTGATTCATTTGAATCTTTTGGTGTCAAGCGTCACCTGACGGATCTGTGTGTGCTGATTGGTCTGTTGTGTTGGTGATTGACAGAAAGCAGACCTGGCCGTGGCTCCGCTGACCATCACATACGTGCGAGAGAAGGTGATTGACTTCTCCAAACCCTTCATGACCCTGGGCATCAGCATCCTCTACCGCAAACCCAACGGCACCAACCCCGGCGTCTTCTCCTTCCTCAACCCTCTGTCCCCTGATATCTGGATGTATATTCTTCTGGCTTGCTTGGGTGTCAGTTGTGTGCTGTTTGTCATAGCCAGGTAACATGTGACCCTCGTGCGTCTTTAACCAAACGTCCGTCTTCATCCTCATTCATCCTCGCTCTCGGGAAACGGTGCCATTTGTGCTTGAAAATATCTGTGTTAATAAAATAATAATAATTAAAAAAATTAACAACCCATAACACTGACCTATCCTAACTGTATGATAAAAATAAAAATTGCACTAAATATTTTTCTATTTAGTTTGCATGAAAAATAATGTAAAATATAAATATAATTGCACCACACCACATTATTTACAGTCAATATTTTTATATTTAGTTGCAAAAAATACTAAAAATTGGACTAAATATGGTCTATTCAGTTACAAGAAAAATAATGTAAAATATAAATAGAATTGCACCACACCACATTATTTACAGTCATGCATTTAGCAGATGCTTTTATCCAAAGCGATTTATAATAGAGGAGCTTAAGCAATATTAAATAGTCAATATTAAAGCAAATATTTTTTACATATAGTGGCAAGAAAATTATTTAAAAATGACAATTTTTTATATTCATATAATTGCAGCACACCACATTATTTACAGTCAATATTTTTATATTTAGTAGCAATATATATATCTTTTTTTTGCTACTAAATATAAAAATATTCAGTATGTTGAGTTCGGTATGCTGTTAATTCTCCAGAGCGTTTCCGTCGATGGTGATGTTCTGTTGAAGCCCTCTGGATATCCCATAATTACACTCTCAGTTACTTTCCCCTTCATCCTCTCTAACATCTGTCTCACTGTAATATCTCTCAGCGTTTATGGCCACGTCTCACGGGAGTCTCCAGACTCAGCTGTATTAAATCCTCTGAAATCAATCAGGCTCTGTTTACGGAGACGAACAAGTGCTGATGTAAAGCGTTTGTTAAAGCTCGGCGTCGATGTTTAATGTCACCGGCCGCATGATACGCAAGAAAAGCCACGACTGTCACCTAAGTTAGAACGCACGCACGCACACACAGACACACACTCCAACACACACACACACACACAGACACGCACGCACTCTAACACACAGACAGACAGACACAGACACACACACACACACACACACACACACACACAGACAGACACAGACACACACGCACACACACCAACACACACACACACACAGACACACACAGATACACACTCACACACACACACACACACACACACACACACACACACACACACACACACACAGACACACAGACACACACGCACACACACCAACACACACACACACACAGACACACAGACAGACACAGATACACACACACACACACACACACACACACACACAGACACGCACGCACACACACACAGATGCACACACGCACAAACTGAAAGACGCACAGAAAAACCAGGTTTCAGGTCTGATGCATGATTTGTTTGACTAAAAACAGCATCAGTAGATCAGAAAACGATGTAAATGTGGCTGTTTATCAGCTGATGTAACCAGAATCTGGATATAAATCATCTACTGAGATGAAAAAGTGCCACAAATGCTGCACAATCAATCATCTGTCTTTAAGAGAAATACTGTTAAAATGCTTGACTAATAAACGTCACTGCTTACCCAGCTGATTAATCGCAGTACATTCAAATAATTATTTTGTATTACAAGTTTTCCGAAATGTTATATTTAAATTAGCAAATGAGACATTAACTAATTAATTTCCCAAACTTAAATCTGAACATTGGATAAAGCCAGATCCATAATATATTAGAGTTAAAGGTTTTTCCTGAGGGGATTTTGGATTTTGGGGGGGGGGGGTCAGTTTTCGCCATGTTTTTACGACTAAAATGTTGTATAAATCAGTGTGAATGATATATGAACAAACCCCTCAGTAAAATCCTTCAGAATATAGAGAGGAATGAACCTGTAAGTTCTGGTGTATGCAAGTGCTGCTGAAGTGGAGATAAAAACCTTTTAATATCTAATAATCTGTATTGAAATTGAAATCTAAAGATGCAAATAGATAAAGTGTAATAAAACAAACACTTAAATGTTTATTTTGGATGTTTTCTTTCCATTAGTCTGAAAGAAGAGACATGATATGGAAGCAAAAACTGACCTGTGCATGAAAACACACCGGGTTTGCCTTTAGTGTCTTAAAGTTTGTTCTCAGTGTTGATCTTGTGTGTGTGTTTGAGAAAGAGTGAGTGTGTGTGTGAGAGAGTGTGTGTATGTGTGTGTGTGAGAGAGAGAGAGAGAGAGAGAGAGAGAGAGAGAATGAGTGTGTGTGTGTGTGAGAAAGAGTGTGTGTGTGTGTGTGTGTGTGTGAGTGAGTGTGTGAGAGAGAGAGAGAGAGAGAGAATGAGTGTGTGTGTGTGTGTGAGAGAGAGAGAGTGTGTGTGTGAGAGAGAGAGAGAGAGAGAGAGAGAGAGAGAGAATGAGTGTGTGTGTGTGTGTGAGAGAGAGAG